AGAGAGATGATGCCTGATTACAGGTGCTTCACTTGGCCAACGTCTAAGGACACCAGAGGAAGCATGTTTTTATTTCAGCTCTGGTGGAATGCACAAACCGTGTAATTATAATCATGCTTCAACGAGTTTTCAGATTCACTCAGGGCAACAAATAAGATATAGACAAGTGGCCTAGACTGACCCACAGAGGACACCGGCTGTGACACTCAAACAACCAGAAGGAGAAGTGTGAAGCCACCATCTAGGACAGTGATTCCCAATCCAGTCCTCGGGGACCCATAGCCAGCCCACGTTTTTGTTCCCTCCAAGCTCCTTGCCAGACAGTCCATATTTTTGCTCCCTCCTAGCTACCGGAGCAAAAACATGGACTGTCTGTGGCTCCCTAAGGACTGGATTGGGAAACACTGATCTAGGAAGGAATAAATATCACAATGTGTGTATGGGGAGCTTGGCTCTGCCAGTCACTGAGGGTGGGACACACTGACTACAGCCCACCCCTCAGCATCCCACAGATCACTCTCACCACACCATAACCCATGACCTCCCACTGCACACTACAGAAGCTGGTGCTCTTTAAGAGTGATTTCTTTAGGTTGAGTGAAGGACACCCATCCTTCCATTCTGGCCATAGCAGTGATCACTAGCCTAAGATGAAGAGCAGAAATAGATAATATACACACTGATAACTACAACACAAGTGCAATTTAATAATAACTTCTTTTTTTTAAAAAAACTGTTAAACTTTCGAACTTTAGTCAGAAACAAAATAAAGACAAATATGTGGCTACCTGTTTATTTGCAACCTCTCCAAACTCCCACCCTGTGTTTACATATTTTTCTCCAGAATCAGTGATTTAGATATATAGATAGAGGTACTTTATTCATCCAGAAGGAAATTTAGGAAATTTGCTCCATATTAGTACCGTAAATGCATTTGCAAGCCATATAACTCACGGAGTACATGCTTAGCTAGTACAATATGCTAATTGGTACATGGGTTTTCTTTATTGAAAGCAAACACTAAAGTTCATGAAAAAAGATTGAATACATCAAATATTTTCAGTCTCTTAGGAATTATGTAGCAAATTAATTCCCGGTCATTCATCAGATTTTCATTTCAGATTTTTATATATATATTATTTAATTTCAGTCTTAAATGAAGGAAACCTGATAATTAATGCATGTCCACCCTGATACCTGTGACTAAACATGGTAACTAAATCCATAAATAAACTTCAGCTACAAAAAGAATTTAAACAAATAACATTAAGATTCCATAAGTAAGATATTGTGAATGAGGGAATTACTTTGTCCTCATACAACCCACAATCTATATCAATGAGCCATAAAATGTTACCAGTAAAAATGCCGGGTATTTTGATGTTTGTAGCAAAGCAGTGGACATATGACTGTCATCCTCTTGGATACAAGAGCACTGAATGAAACTCTCAGTTTTCTCCATTCCACGTTGAACTTATATGTGCTCTATGGACATGCAATTCTTTGTCTTCAGCATAGCAAATTGATTTCAGGGATAACATCTTCAGTTCTTCATTCAGCCAAGGCTGCACATTTCTCAAGAGAATCATGTATCACTCAAAATTCCATGAGAGAAAACTTTTAAAACAGGCAAAGCCATGTGCTAAGACGCAGCAAAATCTTTCCACCGTCAGCCATTGGGGGCCAAAGCATGTTCATATCAGTGAAAAGACACCAATCGAACATCTATACTGTATGCATGCCATTTAAGGATTCTAATACTATGCTTTTCTGCTATACTCCACATTCTGATTACAGCTACATGATTTTGCCACAACAGTAACTCGTCCTTATTCCTGAAAAGTAGGTTTTTTTTCCATGTTTTTTTTCCTCATAAACATGTGACAGGAAAGTGCGTATAAGATTCAATTGAATCACAGGGAAGTAAATGTTGAGTTGCAAAGGCTTAGTGTTTTCATACAGTTTATGCTTCTTATGCTACGCCAAGCCAGTGCTGTGCCAGTAATCCGAAGGTCCCAGGTTCACTTGGGCATTTGAGCAAGACCCTTAACCCTAATAATTCCCGGGACTGGCTGGCTGGCCCTGCTGAAGCATCTACTAAACATGTTATCACAATACCTCTTCAGCTGAAATCACAGGGTCCCCTGTCCTGTTAGGGCTGTTTACAGCATGTGACTGGCAGGTATGTGTGGTGTAGTGATTCTCCACTCAGACACAATCAGATCTTTTTTTTTTTGCAAAGTCTTGAAGCACCATCCCACTCAGGCGAGTGATCATGACCCTACATGAGCATGACACAAACCCTGATTCCATGTGAAGCAGCTACTTCACAGATCCAACCTCAGCCCTCAACACAGACTATTCCTGAAGGCAAATTCCTGGTGCCCCTAGGAGCTCCATCAATGGTTGCATAGTGCAGCACTGAGCCAACACCACTAAGAGTGACAAGCGGGTCACTCAGTCCACAATATGCAAGAACAGTTGGAAAACTAAAATTAAAAAAAAGTAAAAACACAACATCATATATCTGGACAATATACTTACAGTGCTATTTAACATCTTACTGTACCAAGACTTAGACTGAGACAGCAAACATATGCTTCCGGAATCTGTCTTGAAATGAAAACAAGCATGTTTAAAACAAAAAGCCTCGTTTCACATAATGAGCTGCTTGGTTAGATACATTACACGTTACGCTGCACTAGCCCCAAATTCCTGTCTACACATCATTCCCGTGTTGATTGTGCCACACTTCAATCCAGCTTTCCACCTCATCCATCTCAAGCAAAACTCATGAGCAGATTCCGCAATCTCCCCCGAATCCATGTACAGATACAGCACAGTCACTGCACCCTAATTAGGGAACATAAACAAGGAATTATGCACGATTACCACCCCATGCCCAAAAAGAGACAAATACAAGCCATATGGCCACAGTATAAACAGTGTAAGCATCTGTCTGAAAAGTTATTTCACTCCTATACAAAGACTTACTTCAGCAGTTCAGCCCACACTGAAATCCACCAGCATACAAAGGGAACATCTCTGCCATTCTTACCAATTGGCTTGTTAATTTGCTGTATATCAGACAGAACGACATGAACCATTCAATGCTTTATGATAATTGCTTAACAGACCAATGTGAGTCAGTGGTGCCTCCATGTTTAAACATCACACTAAACTGCAACAATGTCAACATACCTGACTTAATAGTAATGTTACAAAAATCACTAAATCACTATATCCGTCCAGGGAATTTTTTTTGAGAAAATTTTAAGTGAATTTCAGAAATTTAACAAAAGTTCATCTTTGGATCACATGAGGACTGAGTTTTGATTCCCAATACTGTAACAGTACGATGAGGAAGCTTGACTTGAGGTCACTGGCAGTCTCATCTCAAAAGTTCAATTTGAAGGGCAAGTACATTGAAATGAATAAATCTACAACCTATAGTTACAAGATGTCACCATTCACATGTATTTGAATTCAACAAAATTGGTTCTATAATCTAAAGATGAAAATATATCTGTATCTGATTTCACACTTAAAAATTCACAATGCACGGTCCAACTGTGCATAAACTGACCCACGGGAAGACTTTGTTTCAGAATTTTTTTGTCTACTAATACATTTTTTTTTTTTTTTGAGAAAACAAAACTATACACAGTTCTAGTTACAAACCTAGCAATTAATGTTGTATGTCAATACTATAAATTGCAAGGTTAGTTAAAATGAAATTTGCTACGACTTGAAAGTATACTGACATATTCAGGATCACTGCTGTCAACTGAGCACAGTTTCACCCTTAAATAGACACGAGTATACCATGAATAAAACAAAGGACCCACAACAAACAAACAAACAAACAAACAAACAAACAGATGTATAATATCTAAAATACAGTCTACATAACAAGGACTCTGATTTATTGCCTATGCAACTACAAACATCTGTAAATTACGTGTAAAAAAAAACGTAATAGAAATTGCATGTTAAAAATATCACAACTGATTTGTTGCCGGGAAAAGAGGAAGCATATCTTTAAGCTGAGTTTAAGGAGGAAAAAACGTGTATTTTAGGAACCTATGCAATTTTTTAAAAATAGTGTAGTACCACAGTGAGCAACAGAGTTGTCACCCACATTTATTTAATATAGTTCGTCTTATTCTTCTATTATTGTGATTATTAGTGTTGCTTTTCTTATGCTAATTTATATAAGAATATTTTATGCATAATTACATTAAATATATTAAATGAAATATAAGACAACATATTTTACTAAATAATCCCATCGTTGTAGTAATCCAATGAAATTTAGAAGCATGTCCGCAACTATCGTAGTATTTGTAATATTTAATGAATTTCAGCCTTTTATGTCTCACGCCGCAAACCTTTGACAGCCCCCCTCCCCAATAAAAAAAACAAAATGAAATAAATAAAATTAAAATTAAACGTAAAACCACAAAAAAACTGCCCTGACGCTCTGTCTTCTTCATTTTCATTTGTACTCTGAGTTTTAAATGTTTTAAAACAAACAGGCTGATCACTGGCCTCTTGTATGTAAAAGTGTATTCAAAGGTCCACTGATGTTGAAAAAAGGTGGTTTTCTGCCGCTGGACATTGTCGTACTTCAGCAAGTGAGACGATCTCGCTTTTTTGTCTGAATATGTTGTTGCACATCAATCGTCTCGCTATTCACTTAAGTATAAAACAAATTCTTCAGTGTTTATAAACCGAGGTTTATAATATTCAAAATACAAACATTTTAAAGAGGAAGCATCGTTTAGAAAGTTTATTTATAAAATAATATATATGAAAGATTGTATTAGGAGAAAGGGCACCTCAGTAATGAAAAGCGATACTGAACAAAGACACTATAGCTTACCTCTATATGCCGGTACTTCACAAATAGTCTATTTTGCTAAATATAACGGTGCAGATCGGAAGATGTGAAACGTAGCCCTCAGAATAAAGAAATTATGTCGGCCATGAGTACTTACCAGCTGTAAAGTGCATAGAAAAATCAGCGTGCATCTCCCGGTGCAACAACCCATTTTCCGTAAAAAGGAGCAAAAGCGCCCGGTGAAACGTTAGTCCAGAGCCCGGCTGGTGGAGAATGAAGCGTCCCTGTGTGCAAGCGGTAGGAAACGGGCATCAAAAAGACTGAAAGCGTGAATGATCCATGCAGACGCCGGACGGGCAACTATGTTAAAAAAAGCATTTAGGAACTGGAGACGGACGCCTTCGCCTCGCCCCCAGCATGTCTGCAGGATTCCGTCCGCGATGCAGGCTTCCACAGTCGGCAATGGACGGGGATTAGTAGGTTAATGGGTAGTTTGACTGTAAGTGTCTGAGGACGCCGAAGGGAGTGACCGCTTTAACCCCAAAACGGCAACCAGCCCAGCCTTCCTTCCAGCTCACCCATCCAGGACAATCATTTACTTCTGTATGCCCGCTTCTATATGCCGTCTGTTACGGTTTCATTCATGATTGCGCATCTCGGGCATTTCATATTCTTCAGCATATTTCACGGAATTTTGAGCTGGTCATCAGTTCACAAAGCCTTAAATAGCATGATTATGTCGTGCTACAGGTACGTTTCTCCACGCTCTGATTCTGTATACAATAATTATTAAGCCAATCGTTTTTTAAATTGCAAGGAGTTTAAACTTTGAGCAATTTGCATAACAGTATGGCGGTAGCAGTGGTGATGTCAAGGGGTTTGAGATATAACAGTCCCCTCTGGTAAGAGTGATGAATAAGACATACATTTCATTAATCTCCGAACTGTTTATCCGGGTCAGGGTCGTGAGGGGGGGCTGGAGCCTATCTCAGGTTGCACAGGGTACACGGTATATGTTCTTGACACCGCGGGAGAAAACCCCACAAACACAGGCAGAGCAGGTAAACTCCGCACAGGGAGAGGGCCAAGGTGTGAGGTTTCAGTGCTGCCCACTGAGGCGCGGTGCAGCCCACAGGCAGATGTACAGCTATTTAAAAATGCATGAATGACAATCACTTCATATATCGGTGCCGAGGTGGTGGCACTGTGATCAGATCGCCGCAGTAATATATACGTGAATGGTAGGCTAAATCTGAGAGTATAACATGACCATTCCAAAGGTTAACAAATGCTGTCTTTATACTCATGGTTGTAAGAAGGTAAAATCACATGACAGCAGTGATCAAAAGCAAGGATATATGTTCCAAAATACTTAATATATAATGTATTTTAATAGGCCTGTACAATACATAGAATGGCATATATCATTCTACAATATGTGGTATTACTGTATGTGCACGCATGTGTGTGTGTGTGTGTGCGATTTAATTGATATTTGATTTAAAAACTATCATTGTTATTGTTGTTCGTTCTAGTTGTCAGAATTCTTTCACTACCACATCACCTGTGGTGAGTTACTCTCCACTGTTACTCTCCACTGTAACGCTGGCAGGGCTGAGTGTGACACCATGCTTAGTATCTGCTCCCTTACTTCCCTCTTCCTGATTTATTTCCGTCTTCCTCTTTAGTTCTCCTTAGTATCCCTTTCATTTCCTCTCAGATTTCCAGCCCCCCCCCCCCCCCAATCCCCCTTCACCTTCTTTTCAGTTATTTATTTGTTTTTAACACCTGACACAATCTTGAGTGATGTTGGCCGGGGTACACAAGATTAACTTACTTTTTTATTGCAGTTTTAATGACGGGCGTTATACTTTTCTGAAAATAAAAACAGACCCACCCCCACCCCACCCCCATCATGTAGGACATATAGCATGAAAAGGACTGTCAACGAACTTGGACAGATTTGATAAAAATCTTAATACGCTACAACATCATCACAATGCTACTGACCACTAGCAGCCTCATAACACATACAGTATTTTTATTCCCGAGTCATTAGTGGTGACAGAATGATGCCCTCTATAGGTCACATAGTAAAACTGCCACTGATAATCCCATGTTTGCGATTATCGCCACCTGCTGGTGATTTACTTTCCAGTACCACAACAGTTTCTAGTTCAATGACAGCGCTTGCCATTTATAGTGATTCTGAGACGACTCCTCCGTTGTAGAATGCATGAGCAATGGAGATGCGTCAGAATATAAGAGTCAAAGAAGAGTTTGTCTTGTGCTGTGCTGTGGAGAACAAGCTGCAGCTCAATATCAGTGGCTTGATAAGGTTCCAGTACTTGGGGGTCCAACACAGTGGCCCTGTACCAGAAAGGCCAGGGAGGACTCCAGTTTCTGGGAGAGACTTTGGTCTTTTTTGTATGCAGCAAACTGCTGAGGCTGTTCTACCTGTCATGGTGGCCATATGGACTTCTACACTGGGACCTGCGGGGAAGCAGCATCTATTTACCTGATGTTAGGAAGGCCAGTAAATTGACCATGGAGTCCCTAGAGACAGCTGCAGAAAAGACGTCGGTGGCAAAATTGGAGGACAACATGAACAATTCTGTCTAGTATCTCTAGGGGTGTCCTCTTGGAGCTTACTTGGGGACCAGGCTCATTCCACCACTATGTGCTAAGAAGTGCTACCCAAATCCTATGGTGTTTGGAGTTTGGAGTCTAGCATAGGACCCAAGACGCATGCTCACACGTGCAAAAACAGGTTCATGTGTCTCATGGCAAAAATAAAGTGTCATGTCTCGACATGGCCACGAGGGGGCGATAGGGAACAACTAAGATTTTTTCTGCTTAGGTTCATCTGCTAACTACTTGATTACTTAATTAGTGTGCCTGGTAAAATCTGAATAACGGATGTCTCATAGTTACATGTAAGTTTATTAACATTTGTACTATAAATTATTTTTTTGCATTTATAAATTGTACCATATTACCTATATTCGGGTAGTACGCATAATTCTGTTCTCCTTCAGTCATATAGATGATGATTGATTGATCCAAGATCATTATTTATATAATCGAGGTTGTGGAAGCAAGACAGTCTAAACAAGAAATCAGAGTGAATTACGTGTTTGCAAAATGCAACTGCAAAGCATTGCACAAACAACTTATCGGTTTTCAGAATTGTCTTTTACTTCTTAATGTTAGCAGTCTAGTGTAAATAATACTTGGAGGATATTAAGGTCAAATGCATCTGCCCCCGCTACCAGAACAACTGCTCCCCCCTCCCACCAGTTGCAATGGTATACAACAACCACTGATTGAATCCATCTGTCTTTATGTCAATTTGTATGTTAAAATAATCTAATATTGTGATTTTCTCTTAATCAGTAGTTATCTAACTTTTTGGACACTTCAGATCAACCCAAAACAGCTAAATTCCACTTTGCTGTAAAATCACAGTAACCTATATGCACATGTCTGCCTGCGCACATAAAAACAGCACTAACCAATTCAGTCAGAAGGGGGCAGTGTGTGGCTCAGCAGGTTAGGCTTCAGTGGCTGTGCTCATAAGGTTGCTGGTTTGAATCCCATGCTCGGCAAAATAGCTACGTCATCTTCGGGTCCACCGCGGAGAAATTTCTCCAGGGGTGCTAGATAAATGTTTGTGTGTGTCTCAAAGGAGAGCAAGAAGGGATTTGTGAAAAGATGCTTTCAGTTATACTTGTGGTCGCATGAATGGCAAATACAGCATCATTTCCAAAGAGGGTTTAGTCTGCTTGGTACAGTAAAGCTTTTAAATGTCAGAGATGAGAGCTGTAAGCTTTCAGTGCAGAATAAACTCGAGAATTTTCACATGCAGCATTGCCCTGGCAATGTTAACCCTCCCCAAATGTGCCAATAGAAAATATGAAAAATATCTGAAAATGCTTGAGCAATTTTCATTTATTTCGATTTTCAGTTCAATTTTTTTCAGTGCACGCAACAAAATTACCACGGTACCACCTGGGGGTGCTCTGAGTACGACCAAGGGTACCACAGCTTGAGAACCACTCGTCTAAACTAATAACTAATCGTGTGAGTTGAACCCTGCTGTCCTGCACACAGCTGACATACTGTATCTATTTATACACTGATTACACGCACACACACACACACCCCACAGGTTTGTAATTATATTTTTGTGGGGACTCCATTCATATCTATGGGGAAAACTCTAATCCCAATATGACAACCTTAACCATAAGTAACCAAATAAAATACAAGACTTCTGGCATTTTTAGTTTGTTGATTGTAGTTACAGATCTTTGTGGGACCTGAAAAATGGTCCCCACAACGTCAGATTAATACGTTTTTATCACATTGTGGGGAACATTTGGTACCCACAATGTAATACAAACATAATCCACACACTGACAAACACAGACAAACTATATCCAAGCCCTCACATGTACAGACACACCATGGAGGTAAGTGCATACAGGAATCATATCTTGCCTTTCGTTGTATAACAGCAATAAATAAAAAATGCAATAATGCTTTTTAATTTAAACAACAATTATAGTTACAGAAACAAGACTTAAATCAAAATGTCTTTATTTTTGTCTGTATACATTCAACATCACTATACAGTGGTTTTGGAGGATAATAGAGAAGCTCCGAGCCAGACAGGAAGTGGGTCCCTAGCACTGCTGTCCTTCCCAGCAGGCCCTGCAGAGGGGAAAAGGGAACCAAACTACACTCAAAAGAGAAAGCACATCCTGTGAAGCACAATACATAATCATATACATAATCATTAAGACTCTCGGCTGGGGATTTCACTGGAGGAACTCCGATAAAACAAAATTAGTACATAATCAGGGTGCCCAAGGCCTTAAACTGGCAACAATCGGGCCTGCTGCCTCCAACACCTTTACCACCCACTACCTCAAACCTTTCTACCACCCGCTGCCTCCAACCTCTTTACCGCCTCCTGCCTCCAACACCTTTACCACAAAATATGGACAAGTACTAGTTCAGAATAAGGAAAAACAACAGTGCAGCGCAAGGACAAGCACCAGAGAACCATCGGCACAGAGTAAGGACCAGCAACAATCCATAGTAAGGACTTCTGGTCCTTGAATAGTCTTATTAGGTTCTGTGCTTTGTTAGAAGTTGTGTAGATGCCGTTGTGTAGCTGTGTAGCTCCTGCTCCAGGACGGCTTACACTCGTACCTGGGCATTCACTGGAAGCTTGACTCCTTGATAGCATTATGTTTGTAATGTGTTATTTTCCTCACTTTCATATCACTTTGGATGTAAACAGGCAAAAAATCCTCATATATCCTGTCAAAGAAGATGTTGAAGGTGGACATTTAGAAATACCTTTTAAACAAGTGTGACTGATCTTCTTCCATTTCTTGGCTGCAAAAAAAAACAAGACATAACACAGTGATGTATTTCATTCAGCACTGCATTCAGCAATGCCCCAATCAATGACCTGTCAGTACTAATTTCATCACTCACACACACATCAGTGCTGTGTCTAACAGCCGTGCATACGGAGACATTTCAGCAGTTACTGTGAATAAGGTGAGGAGAAGTCACAATTTACCCGATACAGGAAGTAGCCTCTGCTTTGGATGCCACCTGGTCCATGAAGATTCTCCTGAAGGGAGAGGAATAAATTTTAATCTGTTTAGCTTCTTGCCACTTGTGACATGCACAGTGAAAGTCTGCATTGTTGACAAAGGATTTAGCCAGCTTCAGAATCAATCCATCCATCCATCCATTTTCTGTAACCGCTTGTCTTATTCAGGGTTGTGGGGGGTCCTGAGCCTATCCTGGAGGCTGTGGGTGCAAGGCAGGAAACTACCCAGGAAGGGATGCCAACCCATCACAGTGCACACTCACACACACTCACACACCAGTCACACACCACTCACACACACTCACACACCATTCACACTTACAGGTACAACAACTCCACTTAACTGCAGCATGTTTTTGGACTGTTGGGGGGGAACCGGAGTACCTAGAGGAAACCCCATGATGACACGGGGAGAACATGCAACTCCATACACATGTAGCCACAGTGGTAACTTGAACTCAACATATTATTGCATTTTAATAAATATACACTCCACTGTACCAAAGTAGAGCATTCCTGTGAAACCTTTCGTAAGCCAAAATGGCGTAAAAGGAAGAAGCTATTCCCATTAATTTATATGGGAAAACTTTTTGCATGTTTCCAGACCAAACAAATAACCTACCAAATCATCCAACCATCAAGCCACCACTGCCCTAATGTCGGTCTTTTGTAAAAGCAAAGTCACATAAAGCAATCGTCTGTAAAGTTGGGGATACCTACTTTTAAAAATGAATGATACAGGTATAGTTAAGAACAAACAAGTATAAGCATTCTGGCTCGAGGACCCCTTCAGTGAAATCTGTGGTCTTAATGGCCTTAATGGATTGATTTGCCCAGTCCAACTGACGTCGTAAGTGGCCTGCTTGCTCTTGAAAACTCTCTGAATCACCCCTGTGGTCTGATCCTTCAGCAATTCTTGTAGGACATGCTCTAATTCTCTGGTTCTTTGCTTTTCCTTCCCCCTACCAGGGAAGCTATACTGCTCCTCATGTTCCGTTTTACTCCAACGATGTTTTGTCGGGAGAATTCAGGTAAATGTCACACAATTTTTTGGAAGAAATAAGGAAAAAAAAAACAAGTGGCTTTCTATTGGCTGGGAGTAACAGAGAGCTGATGTTTTTCAGTACCATCGATGGCCTAAGTACTTTTTGAATGAGTCTGGTCGAGAGTTAAAACCTGAGCTAATGCATTACTTCTACTACAACCAGACAAAACAGAGCGCCCACATGTGGCTCTTTTATGCAGCGCAGTAAAAAGCATGAACAGCATGGTGGTCACAAAATCTGTCCAGAGCACAACCATGTCTGGGCTGCACCGAGGATCCCATTAAACGGAGTTAAAACCTGCCCCCTCCAGCTGGCCTGGCAAGCCACACTCTTGTACGATGCGTGCAAAGGACGGCACTAATTTTAGCCAATTATAATTACCCACAGCATGGAGGGAATGGCTAATGCTGCAGAAGCAGCTAATGGAATGGGTCATATGAGTGTAACATACACACATATATACAAGCATGTGCAGGCAGAGGCTGTGCGAGAACCCAGGGTCCACATGGATGATACAGTGTGTGTGTTTCTGTGCATCTGCACGTTTGCACATGAATGTGCGTAGCTGTGCAGACACTGACAGCACGGTATATCACAGGTTCATACCCCAAAGGTGATTCTCCTGAGTCTTCTGGTGTGTAGCTGCGGTACGAGCTGCAGCAAGGGGTGCAACACAGGTGCCTGCCATCATAAACACAGGCATACAAAGAACCATGAGCTCCAGTTAACACACGAACACTGAGACACAAAGAACCATGAGCTCCTGTTAACACACGAATACTCACAACAAAGAACCATAAGCCCCAGTTAACCAACAAATACTCACACAGAAACATCCATGAGCTCCAGTAAACATCTGAATACTCATACGCAAAGATCCAGGAGCTCCAATTAACACATAAATACTCACACAAAGAACCATAAGCCCCAGTTGATACACAAATATTCATACACAAAGATCTATGAGTTCCAGTTAAAATCAGTAAAATTTGCTGAGCAGTGGGAATCGATTGTACAGTCTGGATTCAAATGGAGTTTTGGTTTGGATGTGTACTGGAGTCCATCAGTTGTTGAACACTGTTGTAGTGTTTTAAAATGTAATGTGCATTGCTTATCATAGTGCGTGCTTTTGTATAACACATTGTGTTTGAGCCGTGTTTATCTACTGTAACGCGTTTGCTGACGTTTGTGTTTCGATATGCTGTACTGAGTTTACACTGCAGGAGGTGTATGAAAGTACTTCTTATATTATAGGAAATTCTTCAAAGCAGACACATGAGCCTTTTGAAAGAGTCGCCACTTAGGAACCTTCTAGATCTCCAGCAAAGTCTGTCTGCTCCCAACAGGCAGCAGTAACACAGACACAGTAATTCAGAGTTTGATCTAATCAGAGCCCAGCAGTAAAGCACAGCAGTTAAACCTAAATTAATCAAACACTCAAGGGAAGGAGTTGTTCTATTGCTTAATTTATTAATATTGTTTCAAAATGAATGAGGACATAGCAGGATTTTTAAAAGTATCAAGAATAAATAATGCAGAGTGTCCTCTTGTTCCCTTCAGCTGCGAGACAAGGAAAATTGGCCCTTTCAAGCTGCAGCAATTTACATGGGTGCAATTCGAATGAAATGCGGGAACAATGGTGTTTACTCAGTCAGTGTAGAGACAGTAACTCAGATGCCTGAGGAAAGTGGTGACCCTTTCAAAGTGCCACTGTCAGGAAGTCAGCAGGCCTCAGCGAAGGTGCAGAGGAGGGCTCTGTTCAGGTCTGGGCACCCATTTAGATTAACAGGAAATGGGTAACATACATCACTGTGGTGCTGAAGCAGAATAGAAAGTAAGACAAAATATACATGTAAAATATAAAAAAATATTCTAAGAAGAAATAAAGAATCACTGGGAAATTCAGCCAAGCTTTCGTATTTTTGGGTCAAAGCCTGCTGTGTAAGCATCAGGACCGGACTGGGATTGAAAATCAGCCCTGGACTTTTGCCAAGAAATACCTTTTGCCAGCCAAGGGGAGAGGAGGAGCCCCCGCCCCCCCCCATCAAAATGTTTGTCTTGCCACATACCCATAAGACCACCAGGAAAATGTTCAATATGCCAGATGGCCAGTTCAGCCCTGGTAAACATCGCTACCTGTTCTGGCATGTATAGGATAGAGTCCAGTGCAGGCAGCATATGAGACTTACTGTGTGCATGTTGGTGCTGTGTCACGTGCATGTTAATACTCACTGTGCCCTCCGTGTCTCCAGAATCTTGGCTCTTACTGTAGTGAAATAAAAACTGCACAGTGGAACACAGTGATCAGAGAAACAGAGAGAGTAACTGCTCTCCCTCCCACACTGCATCTGCATCTCATTCCCACACTGGCAGTGGCTATGAAGCCCGGCGACAGCAGCTCACCCTTTTAGCGTCACCCCTGCCTGTGAAGTCCTGAAAAAGAGTGAATGATGCAATAAGGCTCAGAGAAAACAAAGCAGTGGTACAGAGTGTGGACAAGCAACACTGCACAGTAAGGACAAGCACCAGTGTGGAGTAAGCACAAGCAACAATGAAGAGTAAGGACAGGCAATAATGTAGGGTAAGGACAAGCACCGGCGCAGAGCAAGAACAAGCAACAATTCACAGTAAGGATAAGTACCAGTGCAGAGTACAGACAAGCAAGGCAGAGTAAAGGCAAGAAACAAAGCAGTGTAAGAACGAGAACCAACAAAGGGCAAGCAACAATGTAGAGTAAAGACAAAGACTAGCACATAATATGGACAATCACCAGCACAGAATATGGACAAGTACTAGTTCAGAATAAGGAAAAACAACAGTGCAGCGTAAGGACAAGCACCAGAGAACCATCGGCACAGAGTAAGGACCAGCAACAATCCACAGTAAGGACAAGCAGCCGTGTAGAGTAAGCACAAGCACCAGCACAGAGTAAGGACAAGCACCAGTACAGAATAAGGACAAGTACTAGCTCATAGTAAGGATAAACAGTGGTGCAGAGTAAAGACAAGCACCAGTGTGGAGTAAACACAAGTAAAGACAGGCACCAGTACATAACGTGGACAAGCACCAGCACAGAGAAAGATCAAGCAATTGCACAGAGTATAGACAAGCACTGGCGCAAAGTAAGAACAAGCAACAATGCAGAATAAGGATAAGCACCAGCGCAGAGTATAGACAAGCAACAATGTAGAGTAAGGACAAGCACCAGCACACAATATGGATAAGCACCAGCACTGAGCAAGCACAAGCACTAGGGCAGGGGTGGGCAATCTTATCCGCAAAGGGCCGGTGTGTATGCAGGTTTTTGGGATAACCTTTCGGTCAGCTGTTCAAACCCAGGTGTGAGGACTCTTCAGCCAATCATTCCTCTAATTAGTGACCTAATTAGGGAGTTGCAGCGAAAACCTGCATATACAACGGCCCTTTCTAGATAACATTGCCCACCCCTGCACTAGAGAGTAGTAAAGAAAAGCAACAATGCAGAGTAAAGACAAGCACCTGTACAGAGTAAGGACAAGAACCTGCGCAGAGTAAGGACAAGAACCTGCGCAGAGTAAGGACAAGCACCTGCACAGAGTAAGGACAAGCAACAATGCAGAGCAAGGACAAGAACCAGCGCAAAGTAAGGACAATCAGTGTTTAAAATTACGGATATCTGTCACCGAGGGCTCAAACACACACACACACACACACACACACACAGCATTGTACTGGCTCTGTTACGCAGGACCTGTCAGACATGCTACCTGAGAATGCTGTACTGCCCTCATCGCCATGTAGCAAAGTTGTCCGAGTGTGTCGATATCCTGCCAATGAGAAACAGAGCAGGAGTTAAATCTGAGTCCTTTCCTGAGAGCGACTGTACGCAGCACCAATACATTCTAAGACTCCCGACCTGAGGCCTGGCTTCTGCAGTGAGGAAGCTCATACACGCATCCTCTATCTGAAAAGGAGAAGACGCCACAGAACATCTCAATCATACCATCACTATTTTGTTTTTATTAACTATTCCTTAAAGTGGCCCTAATCTCCACGGTAACACAGCTGAAATGCCACCCTGCTCGACTGAATCTACACTAAAACCCAATTCCTTCATCTAAGTATGAAGCCTTATGTGTTTTTGATATAAGGTCTTGAGTGATATGGGAAGGTAAATCTGACTTAAGTAAAATTTGACTTATGTAAGGTCTGGTGTAACATATTAATTATGTCAGTTTTGAAAGCAAAACTGCATTTTATATCTTCAGAAATTATGTAAACGAATTAAACCGAATTTATTCAAATTAAAAGTTTTCAGTGTTTCTGCCCCGTACATGAATAAGACCTCCAAACACAGTCATGAATAAGACCTC